ATGTGCCAGGTTCTCAGCTACTGAAGGACACCCACCTTTACTCCGAGAGAGCTGTGGGCCTGAGAAATGGGGTTGTCCCATGGCTCTCCACATCCTGCACTGTGCCTAGTGGACTAACATGACTCCCTAAGAGTCCTGGTATCAATAGGTGGCTGCTGGAGGTGGGGAAGCCTCCAGGGTGTGGCCACCACCAACAGCAGGCACAGCTTCCCTTTGGCCAGTTTGACTGGGGCTACACTCGGGGGGAAATGGGTCACAGCGTGACCTTCGTGCTCCCCAGGAGAATCAGGTAAACATACATGTAACCTGACCTGTCCACATTGGACAGACACTGTAGCCTGAACAGCAGGCAGCATAGCATATGGAGGAGCCCTGTTTGTTATCACTACTTCCGTCACCATGATGCATGTCTGAGTGGCCTTCCAGACTTTTCTCTGCACCTTAATCCTTGACCTGTCAGCAAGTATTATTAATGTCATGGTTCAAAAAGCTCTCAGATCCACTATCTCATCTGCTGGTCAGGTAAAAAGGAGAAAAGTCTGGACTTGGCCTCTCTCTACCACACTGCACGCCAGCCTCCCTAGACTGTAACTTGCCCGTCTCCAAACTAAATCCCTCTCTGCCCACATCAATGGGCCCTCCACAGATCATTCTCTCAGCCTCCAAACACTCTCCCACCCTCTATCCAGCAAACCTGACTTTTTCCTGTAATCCCTGCCAGGAAATCTTTCATCCCTCACTCTTCCCCATCAGAGAACACTGGGACTCTCCCACTTGTATCAGCACATGGCACATGGTTGTTAAATAAGCAAATCCGTGAGGTTTGGGGTTAAATTAACTAGGGTTTCTATGCTATTATGTCTAATCCAAATGCCCACTCCCCATAGCCTTTGGGCCAGAACAGAGCCTCAGCGGAGATGCAGTCCATGCTTCCTGATGAAAGTGCTTTTGTTTATGGCCAAAAATTCAGACAAGAAAAAAGAACACACCCTTTCTTGAGTCACAGTCAACTCCATGGAGCAGTTTTCACAATGGGGCTGGGAGAGCACACATTTCGCGCAGCCCCTGCTGTTTCAGGGGAGCAGGGTCTGGAGCCCTGCTCCCCATTCTTCAGCCTCAGGCAAGTCAGTCAGTAGCTCGGCTGCTTCTTGCCAGTGCTACCTCCCGCAGCCACTGTGCTGACTACCCAGGGAGAACGCTTACAAAGGGCGCACACTGCAAATGAAATTTCATTCCCTGCTGCTTCCCCAACCTGTAAATTTTAAGGCTACTGCTCTTAATGCTAATTAAAACTAGGACAGCCATATTTCACTTCTTCCTGAATTAGTAAGGGGGTAGGATCTCCTCAGACCCCACCCAGGGAAACCGCTCCATACTTCTTCACCACCTTCTACCTTCTCTGGCCTCCAGCTCTCCTTGAAGGAAAAACGCAGACACTGGAATAGATCTGAATTCAGACTGAACAACACTTACTGAACACATTACGTATCTAGCATGTTCACAGTTTTTACTGGACCCTCATGACACCTCCTTGTGGTAAAAATAAATGGTGCTGGGTCACCCAATAGACAGACATGTAGGAGTTCATAGCACCCACAGATCGGAAGCACCAAAATGGTGCTGAGAAATGTCTTCTGGAAAAATTATGCCACCAAAACCACATCATAACTGTTTTCATGGGAGGAATCAGAATGTCACTGACTTCCTTACCCTGCAATGCATGGTTCTGTACTTCGCCTAACATTAGGGGACCCTAGTCTTTTCAGCACGTACAGGGGATACAGGTCTTCATCTGGCCTGGGCGTTGCTTTGCACCTTTCACAGATGTACCAAGTGAGACTCTGGGAGGGCAAATGCCTGTCACACAGCTTGGAAGTAAGAGAAAGGCCTCCAGTGTGGTCTGCCAAATCTGGGCATTTCTGGTCCCAGGACCCCACCATTATCACCAGAACCTGCTGACTCACCGAGTAGTGGGAGGGGGCGGGTCTGCAAGCTCAGGAGTGACCTACCTATATGTCCCTAGGTGGTTGGCCCTCTCAGGGGGAGGGGTTCTGACCCAGGGTTCGGCCCAGCACCCCCTCTCCTCTGCAGCACTAAATTGCAATGCAGGGAGTTGTCTTCCCAGGAATTATCTGGGAGAGTCCTGATTGTGTAGAGATGAGGAAACGGAAGCCCTTTGTGGGATCACACTTCCATTCTGTGAATTCCATTTCCAAGTCCCCTCATGGGGCACAATAAACATCATGCCACCACTGCTGGCCTGGCTCTCCTCTCTCCTCCCACTAAGGACCAACATTTTCTGTAGGAGTTCCTAGTGCTTGCTACCTTCTCAACAGCAAGACTTCATTCCTCCACGCAAGGACAGAAACATCAATATAAGATGCCATAACTTTAACAGCCACACTTCTCTGTGTCCTCTATAAGTAAAAATATGCTTCTGAAAGTGGAGGTGAATTTTCTCAGGACCTGTCTCTTCTCTCCCACTCAGACAATTAAAGAGGGTTAGGGTTGGTGTCTGTGGCTATGGAACAAAGTACCTGGGCCCAAGGGACTCAAAGCTCATCAACCAAGCTACACAGCCCTGCTCCCCTAGAGCAGTGGTTCTCAGCCTTCCTAATGCCGCGACCCTTTAATACAGTTCCTCATGTTGTGGTGACCCCCAACCATAAAATTATTTTCGTTGCTACTTCATAACTGTATTTTTGCTACTGTTATGAATCATAATGTAAATATCTGATAGGCAGGATGTATTCAGGCGACCCCTGTGAAAGGGTTGTTTGACCCCCTAAAGGGGTCGCGACCCACAGGTTGAGAACCGCTGCCCTAGAGCTTTAGAAAACATACCAAACCAGCAGGTTCAAACTGGGCCAGCTTACAGTATAAAGAGCAGAAACAGAGTATGGAAGCTGATGACATAAATCCATTACTGCTAACATGATCTGCTAGGGCCATCAGGGCACATTCCATTAGCTCCCCCTCAAAACAATTTTGGTCCCTTAAGTATTAGTCTGTCACACAATCCATGTGTGTGCTCTTCAGGTGATTTAAAATTGCCAGTTTAAAACCTTTGTAAGAGCCATGTAAAACTTTCCTGGCCCTAGTTGGTTTGGCTCAGTGAATAGAGCGTCGGCCTGGGGAATGAAGGGTCCCCAAATTCAATTCTGGTCAAGGGCATATGCCCAGGTTGCAGGCTCCATCCCCAGTAGGGGGCATGCAGGAGGCAGCCAATCATTGATTCTCTCTCATCACTGATGTTTCCATCTCTCTCTCCCTCTCCTTTCCTCTCTGAAATCAATAAAAAGATATTAAATAAATAAATAAAAATGTTAAAAAGGATCCCTGGACTTGGGTAAAGACATTAAAAGAAAAAGAAAAAAGAAAAGAAAGAAAGAAAGAAAACTGAAAACTCTTTCCTGGTTCCAGAGGCCCATCCGTGGAAAAACCTCCAGCTCCTCAGGGATGGGAGACAAGACAGATTTTTCAAACACCCAGGGCTTATGTTAATTCCAAGACTCCACTTAATTACAAGCATGATTATTTGGGAGGAAACTAAACTGTTTACAACTTCGACACGCATAAAAAAATAAGATGGACTGCTGGATGGTTAGATTTATGATGAAAATATGGTCCAATGTTCCACATTCTAGATGGTGTTCACTGTAAAATTTCTTCAACTTTTCTGTATGTTTGAAAATTTTTCCTAATGAAATGTGCAGAGAGCAAGGCAGAGCTGGCATACCTATTCTCCTTACCCAACTCCTAAGTCAGCCCTGGGGGAAGAAACAATGTACCAATACACACTGCCCTGCCCAGCAGCAGGCCCCAGAATACACACAAACTGGTCTAAATGCGATGTCCCGGCTTCTCCATCCTCCTCACTCTAGGCCGGAGGCTCTCAGCCGCAGGTGTGCCTGAGGATTACCTGGGAGCTTATCCCACAACTGCTGAGTCTGGAGCTCTAGGAGTGGCCCCAGGAACCGTCCCTTTCCACGAGGGCCCCCGTGATTCTGACGCAGAGGATCCCAGGCCCACACTCCGAGAAGCTAACAGCTGCTTGCTCTTCACCTGACACCTGTGGAGAGGCCTCCTGGGAACACGTAGAGGAAAACTCACACACACACACACACACACACACACACACACACACACCCATAAACAAGGGCCCAACCCCGAGCTCACGTGACCCGCGAGTTCAACTGTACCAAAACCCTAGATGGCATGAAGCTGGGCCCAAAGCCATGCAGGTCACTGTCTCCCAAACCTGTCCCGGCGCGCGCGGCCGAGAGTGGGTGCAGGGATTCCCTGATGTTGGTGAGCCAAGGCGCAAGGGAGGCAGAGCAAGGTCACCCACCAAGGAGCCCTGCAGGGACTTCTTCGTCACCCGGACTCCCTTCACAATCCCCTTTCCCTGCGAAAACAGCCATCGCGGAAAACCGGACAGGCATAGGATGTGGGAGCTGTAATAAGCGCGACGCCGCGGAGCGGGCCAGCAGCCCCAGAGAGTCCCTGCGCCCGTCCGCCCGCCCGCCTGGCCTGGCTAAGCTGTCACTGCAGCCCCGCGGGTGGCCACCAACCCTGCGATGGTACAACGTCAAAACCCCAGAACCGCTCTGGGTCGCATCAGCGTCCTGGAAGCAGGCGACGGACCCGCTGCGCCGACCCCCGGGGGCCCTTTACCTCGAGAGGCCGGGCGCGCTAGGCCGAGCAACGCTGAGACAGGCCGCTTCCAGCGCTCAGAGGACCAGACCCTTAGCCCCGAAGGGATTACGCGCCCACAGCCCCTCGCCCGCCAAAAGGCCTCTGGGAAATGTAGTCCATCCGTGCACCCGAGGTGCAATTTGCGCACCACGGTGACTACAGTGTCCACCATGCAACGCGCGAACGCCGCGGGCGCCGGCGGCAAGGGGGCTCGGCCGGCCGAGGTCATCCCCCGCCCCCGCCCCCCCCCCCCCCCCCGCCCAAGGGGCGTGAGCGCCCAGCCCTGTTCGCGGAGGGGTCCGGGGGAAGCTGATTCCAGTGGCCGAGGCGACTCACCGTTTTCTTGGCACCTGCGGCAGCTGCAACAGCAGGAACAGCCACTTTCACAGCTTGTCAGAAGGCAGGTAGGCTTTGGAGAAAGGCCGAGACTGGCGGCGTCACGTAGAGGGGCGGGGCCATGAGGTCAGCGCGTGGGCGGGGCTGGGCGACACGTGCCAAGCCCTGGCGAAGGCCTATTTAAACAAGGCATGAGTTTGATATGCTTGTGTCTAGTGAAGTGACTAGCATGAGTGAGTGGAATGTAGGGATGGACCCCATTAGCTCTCTTTCCTTTCTCCCGCCTGCATTTCAGTTTGGGCGCTATACATTCTGTAGATATGCATAGAATGGAGAAGATTTTTGTTGCCTGGTATGCACTTTCCCAACTGAGATTAATAAGGCAACACTGTAACAGAGTCTAACTTATTGTTCAAGCGCTAATACTGGAAACAAGTGTCATTTTTGTTTATGTTTAGTGTAATGTTTTTCTCATTCTTATGTTTTTTGGTTGGTGATTTTGCTGTTTAAAATGGTTCCCGTCCTGCTCTAGCTGGTTTGGCTCAGTGGATAGAGCATCAGCCTGCAGACCAAAGGGTCCTGGGTTTGATCCTGTCAAGGGCACCTACCTTTGTTGCAGGCTCCTCCTGGGCCAGGCGCATGGAGGATGTAACCAATCTATGTGTTTCTCTCACATCAATATTTCTGTCTTTCCCTTCTTTCCCTCTCTCTTCCACTCTCTCTAAAAATCAATGGAAAATCAGGTGAGGATTAAAAAATATTAATAAATAATAGAATATGGCTCCCATCAAGGCCAGGTGGTTCAGTGGGGTGGAGCATCCTCCCCTACACCAAAAGGTTGAGGGTTCAATCCCAGTCAGGGGCACGTACATAGTTGAGGGTTCAATCCCTGGTCTGACATGTAAGGGAGGTGACCCATGCATGTTTCTCTCTTTCACCTTCTCTCTAAAAATCAATAAAAACACATCCTAGGGCCGGGCCTGGCTGGCCTGGCTCATTGGTTGAGTATCGACCTATGAACCAGGAGTTCACAGTTCATTTCCCAGTCAGGGCATATACCCAGGTTGCCCACTCAATCCCCATTGTGGGGTGTGCCATTGGGTGTGCAAGAGGCAGCCAATTGATGATTCTCTCTCGTCATTAATGTTTCTCTTTCTCTCACTTTCCCTACCTTGATTTCTCTGAAATCAATAATATCCTATATAATAGCCAAAACCGGTTTGGCTCAGTAGATAGAGCGTCAGCCTGCAGACTGAAGGGTCCCAGGTTCGATTCCGGTCAAGGGCATGTACCTGGGTTGCGGGCACATCCCCAGTAGGAGGTGTGCAGGAGGCACCTGATCAATGCTTCTCTCTCATCGATGTTTCTAACTATCTCTCTCCCTTCCTCTCTCTGTAAAAAATCAATAAAATATATATATATATTTTAAAAATAATAATATCCTATATAATAAAAGGCTAATATGCAAATCAACCGAACGGTAGAACTCCTGGTCGCTATGACACGCACTGACCACCAGGGGGCAGACACTCAATGCAGGAGCTGTCCCCTGGTGGTCAGTGCACTCCCACAGGGGGAGCACCGCTCAGCCAGAAGCCCTGAGCCAGGCTCACCGCTGGTGAGCACAGGCAGTGGCAGGAGCCTCTCCTGCCTCCGCGGCAGTGCTAAGGATGTCTGACTGATGGCTGTCAGTCAGACATCCCCTGAGGGCTCCTGGACTGTGAGAGGGCACAGGCCATGCTGAGGGACCCTGGTGAGTGCACAAATTTTGTGCACCAGGCCTCTAGTATATTTATAAAAAGAATAAAAAATAAAAATAAAATTCTAGGGTGAGGATTAAAAAAAAAAAAGGCTCCCAAGCATAGTGCTGAAGCACTGCCTAATGTTCCAAAGTGCAAGAAAGCTGTGATGTGCTTACAGAGAAAAATGGATGTGTTAGATAAGCTTTCTACAGGCATGAGTTATATTGAGTTCAATGTTACCGAATCAATAATATATATTAAACCAGCATCATTAGATAGAAACACTCATAAAACATGGTTATGTATTGATCCATATGCAAGTGTGACCAGTCTGGCAAGAGCCTTACCCTGTATTTCTCCAGGAGCAGTGGTTCAATATTCTCTAATTCAGTGTTTGTGGCAAATTTATGGACCATAACCACTAATGAGACCAACTGTATTTGATTTGATTAACATTTTAAAGAATCATTCTGATTGCTGTGTTGAGAATGGTTTCTTTAGACCAGCAGTTCTCAACTTGTGGGTCGCCAACCTGTGGGTCACGACCCCTTTGGAGGTCTAACGACCCTTTCACAGGGTCGCCTAAGACCATCGGAAAACACATATATAATTACATATTGTTTTTGTGATTAATCACTATGCTTTAATTATGTTCAATTTGTAACAATGAAAATACATCCTGCATATCAGATATTTATATTACGATTCATAACAGTAGCAAAATTACAATTATGAAGTAGCAACGAAAATAATTTTATGGTTGGGGGTCACCACAACATGAGGAACTGTATTAAAGCGTCACGGCATTAGGAAGGTTGAGAACCACTGCTTTAGACCAAAAGAAGCAATTAGAAAACTGGGAGCTGAAACTGGTTTGGCTCAGTGGATAGAGTGTCGGCCTGCGGACTGAAAGGTCCCAGGTTCGATTCCGGTCAAGGGCATGTACCTGGGTTGTGGGCACATCCCCACTGGGGGATGTGCAGGAGGCAGCTGATCGATGTTTCTCTCTCATCGATGTTTCTGACTCTCTATCCCTCTCCCTTCCTCTCTGTAAAAAAATCAATAAAATATATTTTTCAAAAAAAACCCCCAAATGCCGAAACCGGTTTGGCTCAGTGGATAGAGCGTCGGCCTGCGGACTGAAGGGTCCCGGGTTCGATTCCGGTCAAGGGCATGTGCCTGGGTTGCGGGCACATCCCCGGTGGGGGATGTGCAGGAGGCGGCTGGTCGATGTTTCTCTCTCATCGATGTTTCTGACTCTCTGTCTCTCTCCCTTCCTCTCTGTAAAAAATCAATAAAATATATTAAAAAAAAAACAAAAAAAAAACAACCCAAAAAACAGAAAACTGGGAGACCAGCACATATGTAATTTAATTTTTTTCTACTAGCCATGTTTTAAAAAGTAAAAAGAAAAAGGTGAGTTTAATTTAATATATTTAACAACCCAATATATGCAAAATACTATTTTAATATTTAATCAATATAAAAAAACAATCAGCCCTACCTGGTTTGGCTCAGTGGCTAGAGTGTTGCCCTGCAGACTGAAGGGTCCCGGGTTCATTTCCAGTCAAGGGCACATGCCTGGGTTGTGGGCTCGATCCCCAGTAGGGGGCATGCAGGAGGGAGCCGAGCAATGATGTCTCTTTCATCATTGATGTTTCTCTCTCTCTCTCTCTCTCTCTCTCCTTCCCTCTCCCTTCTTCTCTGAAATCAATAAAAATACATAAAAAACCAAAAATACCAATCAGAGATATTTTACATTCTTTTGCCACACTAAGTCTTTGAAGTCTAGTGTGTTTTTTATACTTACAGCACATCTCATTAGCCACATATGGCTTGTGGCTACCATATTGGACAGGGAAGATATCTATGAAATAATAAAAGTGTAATATGTTAATTAGCCTGGACATCCTTCCGGATGACCTTCCAAACGGAGCGGTGGTTAGAGGGAAGCCCGGGTCCCAGGTGCCAGGCGGAATCTGGTGCCAGCAGCCGGGGGAAGGAAGGCCTACTCTTGCACGAATTTCATGCATCAAGCCTCTAGTAGAATATATATTCCATTGCTGTAAGGAATATATCTTCTATATCTTACAAGCAAAGTCTTGTTCTGGAAATATACAGACTGGAATAAAGCCCAATCTCTGTTCTCAAAGTGAACACAGGTCAGCTAGGGAGACTAATATAATAGCTTGTGCTGAAGACTTCAAAACAAAGTGCTTTGAGAAGTTGAGTGGGGAGCACCCAGAGGAGGGATGCTTCAGAGAGAAGAGGGACATTGAAGTTGGGACTTTAAGAAGAATGTGTAAGAATTCTGTGGATAAGGGCACTCCAAGGAGGGAGAACTGTTTTTGCAAAGTCCCAGAGATATGAAATGCACAATACCTCTGGGGAAATGAAAACTGTTCGTGTGTATGTGTGTGTGTGTGTGTGTGTGTGTGTGTGTGTGTGTGTGTGGTTTGGGTAGCACAATACCTCAGAAACAGAGTATTATTATTTTAAAAAAATTATCTTTATTGTTGAAAGTATTACAGATGTCCCCCCTTTTTTTCTCATTGACCCCCTCCACTGAACCCCCTGAAAACTGTTCTTTATGGCTGGATTGTAGGGTGTGAAATGGGAGTGTAGAGGATGGGAAAAGAGGGTGAGGGTCTTAGAGACCAGTCTATGAAATGTAGCATTTATCCCGTTTGGTAGTGATGGGGAACGTTGAGACTTTTAAGCTGTGATATGACCAGATCTGTGTTTTAAGCAGAGCATTCAGGCAGTGTGAGGAGAGTGGAAATAGGAGGCAGGAAGACCCATTAAGGAGGAGAAAGGACTCTAGGACAGAACCAGGAAAGACCCATAGAGACTGAGAAGAGGGTCAGAGAAGAAGGAGGGCAAAGGGTAGTCCACAGTGTCCCGTGCATAGAGGTCAAGTAGAACAGGACATGCAAACCTTACCATCCCAAAGGCTGTGTAAAAATTTGCTGACCCTCCAGAATCCACCAAATTGCAAAGGGTTTGGGAGCCAGTGAGAGCTTAAAATGTACTGAGATGGAGCTAGGTTCAAGTCTTGGGCCACATCACTATATGACCTTGTTAAAAAATACAGTGGGGCCTTGACTTACGAGTGTCCCAACTAACGAGTTTTTTGAGATACCAGCTCTCTCCGCCAATTTTTTGGCATTGAGTTGACAGAGTAATTTGAGTTAACGAACTCCTTAACGAGCTCGGTCTTGGAACGAATTAAACTCGTAAGTCAAGGCCCCACTGTACTTCAATTTTCTAACCACAAAATGGGAATGAAGATAATGCCAGCTTCATAGGGTTGTTGTGAGGATGGAATGGCTGACTGCAGTTAGTTCTCTTTACATGGTGCTTGGCATGTGCTGGCACTCATGGTTGTTTTATTAGTATTTGTTATCTTTTAAGTGCTCTCGGCCTCAGTTCCCTCCCTTACAAAAAGAGCTGCCATTTCCTGCTTGCTGTTAATAGGAATCAAAGAAGAAATGAGATGATAGATTTGTATTTGCACTTAAAGCTAACGGCAAATGTTCCCCAAAAGATTAAACGTGACTCATCATACATTCTACTCCTAGGAATAAGTCCAAGAGAATGGAAGCATGTACACATGAAAACCACAGCATTTGTTCATATTTGTAACATGAATGTTCACATTCACTAATGCCAAAAACATCACAACACCCCATCAATTGTGGTTTATCCATACAATGGCATATTGTTCAGTCATAAAAAGGAATGAAGCTTGGGGATCCTTTCCTCCTCCCCATGTGGGAGTCTGTACTTGTTCTTTAATAAATTTCTACCTTTGCTATTAAAAAAAAAAAAAAGGAATGAAGCTCTGACACTTGCTACAACATATGACGAACCTTGGACACATGATGCTCAGTGAAAGAAGCCAGGCACATAAAACTACGTACTGTATGATTCTATTGACATGAAACGTTCAGAATAAGCAGATCCATAGAGACAGAAAGATTAGTTGCTGCCTAGGCCTGGGGGAAACGGGCGGCGGGGGGTGACTGCTAACGGGTGAGGGTTTTTCTTTTTGGGGTGATGAAAATGTTTTAAAATTGATTGTCATGATGTTTGCACAACTCTGTGAACATACTAAAATGGGTAAATGTGAATTATATTTAAGTAGTTCAAAAAACAAAAAATAGGGAGAGGCTGTACCCAAAGCAACTTGGAAGAATTCAGACACATGATGAATAAGGCAAGCAACTCTGTGTAGAGAGGGGGTGGTCTTATCCACGTTATTTGCATGTTATTTGCTGTAAAGCCTCCTGGGGCTCATCTGAGACCAGAAGCCCACGACTGTCCCAGGAAGTGTCACTGGCCGTCTTGTTTTGTAACTGCTGTGTTTTCCTGGAGAGTGTTCACTTTCTATAGTCACCTCCCCTCCGCACAAACATGCACACGTGGCTCCTTCCATGTCACCTGCCTCCTCCCTGGCCTCCGAGACTCACACCTGTACTACAAAGCCAGCTGCCCTTTATTTTTAGTCCGGATTTTAACATAACTGGGGCACTGGAGCACCTTAGGCCCAGCACACCTTCAGTGACAGGTTTCTTTGCACCTGGACAGGTTTTTTTTGCCACCAGCGCATCCTCCTGCGCAGGATGAACACTGTTTGCCTTAAATGGGGCTGGTCCACGAGGTTCCTGAGAGCTGTTTGTCTCCCAGGTTGTGCAGAAAACTGCCCAAAGGTCTTAGCTGGTTTTACTCAGTGGATAGCGCATCGGCCTGCATCCTGAAGGGTCTCGGGTTCGATTCCAGTCAAGGGCTCATGCCCTGGTTGCAGGCTTGATCCCCAGTAGGAGGCATGCAGGAGGCAACCAAACGGTGATTCTCTCTCATCATTGATGTTTCTATCTCCTCTCCCTTCCTCTCTGAAATCAATAAAAATATATTAAGAAAGAAAGGAAGGAAGGGAGGGAGGGAGGAAGGGAGGAAGGAAGGAAGGAAGGAAGGAAGGAAGGAAGGAAGGAAGGAAGGAAGGAAGGAAGGAAGGAAGGAAAAAAAATTGCCCAAAGGTGGGGAAGGGGGGCCCTCCTCCATTCTCTCTACAACGAGTGCCATCTGCTGGCAAAACGATGGGACAGGGGACATGGCGAATTCTTTTGTTTACCTTCTTGGCTTGGAGTCCACATTACAGAGGGCTGGGGGTAGTGTTCATCCGTCTAGTTTAGTTCTCTTTGGCCAGAATTTAAATTAGGCCTAATGGATAAGGCATTGGCCTCCTAAATCAGGCCTGATTCTTACATTGAGACCTATAAGGAAAAGGACACGTATTTTCAGTATTGAGCTTGATACATTTTCACGAACCTCACTTATTAGTGCAGCCAGTACCAGGCTAAGAAGACACAGAGTGTGACCATCCTCCCAGCAGCCTCCTCTGTGCCCCCTTCTAATCACTGTCCTCCCACCAGGAGTCACTAGACCAACTCCTACGAAATAGATTTGTTTTGCCTTTTTTTATATTTTCTGTTACAGGTTGGAGCCAGTTGGAGCATACAGTGTGCAGCTTTTGTAATGCAACATTCCAGGTTACTAAAGGGATTCCGTCCCCTGGGGCAGAGCCTGAGCATCATGAAGGGTAAGTCTCTCCTCCCACAATCCTCTGCCTCCTCCTTAGCCCCTTCCTTCCCCACGTCCTTCCATCAGGCTGATTCATCATTGGCTTGAAAGCTTCAAACAAAATCGTGGTCATTTTGGGAGTTTCAGTTAGCATCCCTGAGCACTGACCTTGTGCCATGCACCAGGGTAGACACTTTACACACATTCCTCTCTTCATTCCCTCTGGGAGCCTATGACTTTTACCTAAAGCTGAATGGAGGATGTAGCATGTTTAGAGGTGCAGAGCCAGTGGCTAGCAGACCCCAGCTCTTGTGATTTGACTGATGGTCTCCTGACGGCTCAAGTTGCTCTCCAAAGCTGATGTGAGGCCGAAACCGGTTTGGCTCAGTGGATAGAGCGTCGGCCTGCGGACTGAAAGGTCCCAGGTTCGATCCCGGTCAAGGGCATGTACCTGGGTTGCGGGCCCTTCCCCAGTGGGAGATGTGCAGGAGGCAGCTGATCGATGTTTCTCTCTCATCGATGTTTCTAACTCTCTATCTCTCTCCCTTCCTCTCTGTAAAAAAATCAGTAAAATATATTAAAAAAAAAAAAAAGCTGATGTGAGGCAGCACATACGAGGTGAGAGGAAGCTGTCATGCTCAGGCTGTTCTTTGCAAAAATCTGTCTTTACACCCAGCACAGGACAGGAAGGAAGCCCGCCACCCCCTGTGGAATCCACGTTGTTGGATCATTGATTTGTTTGAATTGTTGCAGATTCCCAAACCTTTGAAACAGAGTAGCACTCTTAACAGAAGCGTACAAGGTGATGCATATTCACCAAATGAACACACCAATGTGTCCATTCCCAGCAACTCTGCCTCATGCCATCTTCGAAGCAAGAGGTTTCCCCAGAGTCACCACGCTCCTGACTTCTAACAACAAAAATTAGTTTTCTCCTCTTTTGTACTTATAGAAATGGATTCATATAGGATGAGCTCTTTTGTATATGGCTTCCTTTGCTCAGTTTTATAACTGTGAACATCATCCATACTGTTACACATAGTTGTCAATATTCATTCTCATTGCAGTAGGATAATCCATTATGTGAATACAGCACAGTTTGTCTGTTTTGCTGTTCAGGGACATCTGGGTAATTCCCACATGGGAACTGCTGGCTATTATGATATTGCTGTCACAGGCATTCTGGTGCAGGGTATAGCTATATTTCTGTTGGATGTCCATTAAGGGGTGGAAGGCTGGGTCGTAGCGTGTGCATATGTTCAGCCTTGTAGACCTAACCATGTTGTTTCCCCAAAGTGTTCCTGCCAATTTACACTCCACCAGAGCATGTGAGCATTCTGCTGGTCACAGCCTAACCAACACTTGGTATTGCCAGACCTTCAAATTTTAGTGTTAAATGATTCTAAACAGAAACATGAATGATTTCAATGTTAACGCCTATTTTGTAATATTTCTATCATGGCTCATGAGACTTGACAGCTCCTTTGCACCTGTTATCCATTTAGCAAACATTTACCAAGCCCCTACTATTTACTGGACTCTGTGTTCTGGTGCTAAAGAGACAGAGAAGAGGACCAAAGATCTCTGTTCTGGAAGAGCAACTAAGATGGCGGCATAGGTAAACACCGGGAAATTATCGCCTCACACAACAATTGAAAATTACCGCAAAGGACTGAGCAAACATCATCCAGAACAACAGGAAGGCTGGCTGAGTGTAAATTCCACAACTAGAAGGAAAGAAAAGCATGCTGAGAGCCAGAGGCGCTGCGGAGGTGAAGTGCAGAAGTACGGCGGCGCGCGAGGAAAGGGGGTGGCGCCTGAGGACGCGGCTGTCTTTTTGAATCACAAACTCCCGACGGCTCTGAACTCCGGTTCCGGGAAGTCTCTGGGGACCCAGGTCTCATACGGGGAGAAGCTGGTCTGTCCGGCAGCGAGCGAACTTGAGGGCGGCTTTCCCTCAGAGGTGCTTGCAGCCGTTACCGGAACACTGAGACGCGCGACTCCGGGCGGAGAATCGGCCATGGCCGCTTTCTCCGCCCTCTGACTCCCTGAGACCCCGCCCCACCCAGGCTGCGGCAGAGGCTTTTGCATGTGAATGTACCTAACTGCAGCCGAACCAGGCAGACCTGGAACTTCCAAGAGAAGGCCCAAGGCCCCGCAGCGGCTTGCATTGCTTCACAGCTGAGCCTCTTTGTGGCTCCTGCTGTGTGGCCTCAGGCAGAGGCTGAATTAGCACCTCCTTAGATCCAGGAGCCACTGTACCCAGTGGTCAGAGGGGGTCCATCCAGACTGCAACTCCTCAGATCCATAAGGGACGCACTCAGGGAGCAGACTCAGTGAGCACCAAAGCCCCACTGAAGCAAGTCTTGCCCCAGAAGGGTGTCTTCAGCACAGAAGTTCTCCCACTTTAGACACAGCTGATTCTCACAGCCAATTGGCCTGGAGGTCAATTCCTCCCAGTGATTCTACAACAACCAAGGCACCAAGAGTGCACCAAGAGTGTCCACCCCAGGTAACTGGGGAGGCTGAGCTACTGGGCCCTACAGGACACCTGGCGCACAGGGCCACTCTATCAACAAAGGGAAGCTGCCAAAATGCGGAGACAAAGAAACAGGTCACAAATGGCAGAAATGGAGGAAAGCAAACGATTGGATATAGAGTTTAAGGCCACGGTTATAAGGTTTTTCAAGAATTTTATGGAAACCGCCGATAAATTTAATGAATCCCTCAATAAGTATAGGGAGACCATGGAGGACATGAAAAAGGACCAACTAGAAATTAAGCATACACTGACTGAAATAAAGAATAATTTACAGAGATCCAGCAGCAGAAAAGAGGATCCCAAGAATCAAGTCAAAGATTTGAAATACAAAGAAACAAAAAATACCCAACCGAAAAAGAAAAAAGAAAAGAGATTCCAAAAATATGAAGATAGTGTAAGGAACCTCTGGGACAACTTCAAGCGTACCAACATCAGAATTATAGGGGTACCAGAAGGAGAGAGAGGGCAAGATATTGAAAACCTTTTTGAAGAAATAATGACAGAAAACTTCCCCTACCTGGTGAAAGAAATGGACTTACAAGTCCAGGAAGCGCAGAGAACCCCAAACAAAAGGAATCCAAGGAGGACCACACCAAGACACATCATAATTAAAATGCCAAGAGCAAAAGATAAAGAGAGAATCTTAAAAGCAGCAAGAGAAAGACAGTCAGTTACCTACAAGGGAGTACCCATACGACTGTCAGCTGATTTCTCAACAGAAACCATGCAGGCCAGAAGAGACTGGCAAGAAATATTCAAAGTGATGAATAGCAAGAACCTGCAACCAAGATTACTTTATCCAGCAAAGCTATCATTCAGAATAGAAGGTCAGATAAAGAGCTTCACGGATAAGAAAAAGCTAAAGGAGTTCATCACCACCAAACCAGCATTATATGAAATGCTGAAAGGTATTCTTTAAGAAGAGGAAGAAGAAAAAGGAACTCTTACCATTTGCCACAGCATGGATGGAACTGGAGAGCGGATAAATACCACAGGATCTCACTCATTTGTGGAATATAATGAACAACATAAGCTGATGAACAAGGACTGATCCAGAGACGGAGAGGCATTGATTGGACTGTCGGGACTTGGAGGGAAGGTAGGGGAGGGTGGGGGTAAGGGGGAAAGATCAACCAAAGGACTTATATGCAAGCATATAGGCCTAACCAATGGACATGGACAACGGGGGGGTGAGGGCATGAGCGGGGGTGGGGGGGGTGGGGGTAGAGGGTAACGTGGGGACAAGGACACATATGTAATATCTTAATCAATAAAAAATATATTAAAAATAAAAAATAAAAAAAAAATAAAAAAAAAAGATCTCTGTTCTGAAGGAGCTCCAGGAACCTCTTTAGGTCTCAGCTCAGATGTCACCGCCACAGACACCTGAGCACCTGCCACCATTGTCTTTTTGCCTGCTTCATTTTCTTCATAACACGCAACATCATTTAAAGTACTTTATTTATCTGTTTGTTTAATTGTTTGATGTCTTCATGAGGGCAGGACTCTTGTCTGTTTGATATTCTCTAGTTCCCAGAACAGTTTCTGGTACATAGTCAACATTCATTAGACTCTTTGAGTGAACAAATGATTGAATAAGCGATAGGCAGGATGAGAGCTGAGATCTTAGATTAAAGTACTGGCCATGCCACTTAATAGCTATGTGTAAAAAAAAAGCTGTGTGGCCCTGGCTGGTTTGGCTCAGTGGATAGAGTGTCGGCCTGCAGACTGAGGGGTCCCGGGTTCGATTCCTGTCAAGGGCACGTGCTCAGGTTGCGGGCTCGATCCCCAGCCCCAGTCAGGCACATGCTAAAAGCAACCAATCAGTGTTTCTCACATCGATGTTTTTCTCTTTCACTCTCTCTCCCTCCCTTCCACTCTCTCTAAAAATCAATGGGAAAACTATCCTTGGGTGAGAGTTAACACACAAAAAACAAGCAAACGAAAAAATGGGCAAAGGACTTAAGTAAACATTTTTCTGAAAAAGGTCTACAAATGGCCAGTAAATACATGAAAAGATACTCAACATCACTAGTCATTAGGAAAATGCAACTCAAAACCACCATGAAATATCATCTCACACCCGTTTGGGTGGCTTTATCAGAAAATAGGAAGTTCTGGTGAGGATGTGGAGGAATTGGAACCCTTGTGCACTGCTTGTGAGGATGTAAATTGATGCAGCCACTTGGAAACAGTATGGCAGTTCCTCAGAAAATGAACCATAGAGATACCAAATGATTCAGCAACTCCACTTCTGAATTAGAAAATTGAAAGCAGGAACTTGAACAGGTATTGGTACTCCTTTGTTCATAGCAGCATTATTCATAATAGCCAAAATACAGATGCAACTCAGGAGCCCATCATCCAGAGACATATGAATGGATAAGCAAAATGTAGTATATGTATTTCGGAATATTACTCAGCCTAGAAAGGAAGGAAACTGCCCTGCTTGTGTCTCAGTAGTTGAGTGTCATCCTGTGCACCAAAAGGTCACAGGTTCAATTCACAGTCAAAGACACATGCCCAGGTATGGGTTCGATCCCTAGTGGGGGGTGTAGAGAAGGCGTCTCATCGTTGATGTTTCTTTCCCTCTCTCCTCTCCCTTCTTCTCTCTGAAATCAATTTTTTTTAATAAAGGAAGGGAAATTCTGATAGATGCTGCTATGTGGATGAATCTTGAAGACTTTATGCTAAGGGAGATAAACCAGTCACAGAAAGAGAAATACTGTATGATTCCACTTATAATGAAGTACCTAAGTCGTCAAAGTAATAGGGACAGAAAGTAGAATAGTGGTTGCCAGGGGCTGGGGTGAGGATTGGGGAGTTGGTCAGAGAATTGAAAGAGCTCCTGTGAGTTGAGGTGAGAGGTGGGCTGAGCCATGCAGCACACAGACCACATCAACTGGATTGTCTTGTCCTGAGTAAAGGACGTCAGGTCCGGCAGTGGACAAGAAGGGGTGTGGGTGGAATTGGGAGATATTTAGGAGGAAAAGTCTGATGAAGGATGTGATACAAGTGATTGGGGGGAGGAAGATTGCCCCAGATCCCTGGGAATCTTTCAGAGGCCCTGGAAACCTCTTGTCTGAGGTCTTGTTAAGGAAGCTGGACAGTGCCCTGTCCAGGTCAGTGCAAATGTAAGCTAATACTTTATGCCCCCCCCCCGCCTCCGCAAGAAGAAATTTGGGCACCTGCAGCTATTCCTCCCACTGGGACATACCCTCCTGGGTGAGTGAGCCTCAGGAGGCACAGCGAGTTCACGCTCTGATTGACGATCACCTAGACACACACTGTCCTTCAGCACTGAGTTCTATTTGTGTTTTCCTGACTGTGACATTTAGCCAGCCTTACAAAAGGGCACTTTAGGCCAGTTGTGATTTCTTGGTTACAAGCAACAGGAACTTACTCTGGTTACCTAAGCAGAAAAGGACTTGATTTGAAGGCCATGGTTGCTCTCAGAATTATATTCCTTGGTTAAGGAACCCAGCTCAGGTTGGAACCAGAAAGCTGAGCGTGGGCCTGGGGGACCTAGACAGCCTGCCTGGGAAGGTTAGTACGCTACCGCCCAGGGACCCAGCCACTGGGCCCTCGACCCCACTGTGGGCATCCTGAAAACTCCCTTCCCTTTCCATCTGCCCTTCACCCTGTGACATAAGGGCTCTTAACCCAATCTGAGAGCTGAGAACTCTGAGGCTCAGGGAGGTAAGTGGCTACAATCAGATATCTTCCCTCACATGTTCAGTAGCTGAGTCACTATACTTTCACCCCCACCCTCCAGACTGATGCTTACCCCATGGCCCCACAGCTTCCCGAAGGTTAGTCCAGCCAGTTTGCGTTTAAAAAGGCTTTTTAAAAAGTATGTATGCATAAACCATGGACACAGATAATAGTGTGGTGAAGGCCTGGGGTGGGGCATGGGCCAGGTGGAGGGAACCAAAAGGGGGGAGAATGGAGGAGTCTGTAATACTGTCAACAATTAAAAAAAAGACTTTAGCCCTGACCTGTTTGGCTCAGTGGATAGAGCGTTGGCCTGCGGACTGAAGGGTCCCGGGTTCGATTCCAGCCAAGGGCATGTACCTTGGTTGTGGGTACATCCCCGGTGGGGGGTGTGCAAGAGGCAGCTGATCGATGGT